TTGTTGACTTATTGTTTTGAATCACTTAATTATCATTATTTATTAAGTTTTATTTTTACACTGTTCTTATTGTGTAAATTCTAATTATTATTTGCATATTTCCTTTTTAAAATGATTTCATTTTCTTTTTCTGCTTGGATTTAATGTTACTAATATCTCACTTCAGCCTCGTGAAATAACTAACACCAATCAGAAAATACTTTTGGCACCTCTTTTTGCATTTTTCAGACATTCTTATTTTTTTTCCTTATCAGCAGTCATTGTTTTAGCAGAAATTTATTTTTGATCTTTATTATTCTCTTAAGTTTGAATGCCACTGTTGCTTTATTTTGTTTCTCCTGTCAGACATTTATTTTCCTTTTCAGTTCTTGTAGATACTCATTATTCTGCCTAGGAATTTATGGTTATTCTGCAAATGATTCTTTTTTTTTTTTTCTTTTTTTTTTCTGCATGAATATAAAAAAGGCCTTTATTTTTTTTTTATGAACAGAATTTTTTTCTCCTCTTGCTAAAAATGGTGAAGAAGGATGTATATGAATAAATTACCTTTTCCTTTATATTAGGATTTTGATCATTAATCAAAATGTTCAATTCAACTTGGTTTCTTCATTTAATTAAATTTTGAATGTAGAAAAATTTTCAAGGCACATTAGCTTAATATTCTGATAATATTAAACATTTTTTTATTCTGCATAACTTCAAAAATGTTTTCATTAAAATAAATTTAAATAAATGTTTTTACTTATTACTGTTAATTTATATACTGAACCATATTTTCATTCTCTGTTCAGTAAAGTTTTTTATGTTTATAATTTATATGAAATTGTTCAGATGAATAATTATTATATTCCTTTCTCTTTGGACTAGTATACTCCTCTTGATTGTTATACCCAAGTTTTACATGTATCTTTCAGACTTCTTCAAGTCTCTATCTGAGTATAACTACCAAGACAAGCATACTAGTCTAAAAAGAATGGCATATAATAATGTCTTTATTTACATTTTCCTTTTTATGAAAATAAATCTCTTATAAAAATAAGGTATGGTATTGGATTAAATGCCCTCTTCCTAGCATTTTTTAATTTCAGATGCAGTTAAATTTTAAATTTTTTAAATTGAAATAATATTTATATACATATTTTAATGGTTTGCATTTTATATCAATTTTGTTAATTTTCAGTTCCCAAACTTGACTTTCACCAAGTTGAAGGGTACTAAAAATAAATGCTTTATTTTTTAAAAAAATAGCTCTTATTTATTAAGTGATTTTTGTTTTTGAGAGTTATTAATAAAAGGAAAGTTGCCAATAAAAAGATGAACTCAGTTTACTTGATAAGTATCAGATCAACTCCTCAATCATTGCCAGGCAAAGTTCACATTGGATCTGCTGCGGTATTTCTCTCAGTTTTTTTTTATATATGATTCTGCTATTTTGAATGCAGGTACATTAAATAATTTAACAATAACCTTAAGTTTTATCATAAAATTTACAAAAACAAAATTGACAGTTTAAATTTTAATGGATAATTAATGAAAATTACTGTTTAAAACATATATTTAAAATGTAATTTGATGAAAATTATTTTAAAAATGTTTGTAATATAATAATTTCTAACCTTTTTTGCATTGCTTCTTTTGATGTACAATGTAGTTTGTTGTAAGTTAGTTTCAAGTATGAAAGATAGACTGTTTACTGGATTGGCTATTCAGCAAACCAACTTTCAACTTTTCCAGCTGAAGGAATCAAATATGGTGTATTAAAAACAGTGAAAACATAGAAGCAATTCTAAAGATAGAAGAATGTTAAAAACATTTAAGGCTGATTAGAATCTGTGCCTTATGCAGTTTATATTTTTAATATATATTTTATTGAATATGAATTTTAAAAATCTGCTTCTACTTGAAACTGAACTTCTTTTTCTTTCTTTTTTTCTTTTTTTTTTTCTTTTTTTTTTGTGCTAGTAATCTCTTGAAGAATTTAGCCAAAACATCTTGTCAATTGATTTGGAAGAAAATAATTTTGAATTAGTTGTGTCAAGCAATATAGAAACTGAAAGATAAAGAAGTATAGTAAGAGGAATTAATGAAAAGAATCTATTTTAAACACCTACTTCTTAAATCTGACACATATTTGGTAATAGTTGATTTTGTACTTATTTGAAAGAATATTGTAATATAATTTTGATGGTATACACCCAATTATTTGGATTTTTTTTCTAATATTTTCATATGTGTGCATTTCTTTCTACTTAGAATTTTGGTGGTACTCAATATAAAAATATTTTAAAGTTCTTAATAGGAAACTTTAATATACATTTCATATAAGATTTTTTTTAAGTATGAAATTTACTAAAAGTGTAATTTTTATAATTATAAAATGGAATTGTAAATTTTAGTTTTTACAAAAGAATTACATTTATTTTTTTAATTTCATGCTCCTTGAAAAAATGAATATTTGATTGAAAACTACAAAAATACAAACTTTACAGTTTCTACAATTTAATTTTTTGTTTTATTTCTTTATTACTAGCATGCAAGATTTTCATATTTGATTTGAAGTTTTAGTTTTCAGTTAGATATTTTAGTTTGGTTGAAATCATTGCATTTTTTATTCTCAGATTGATGTTTTTGTTTATTGGTTAAGTTTTATGAATATTCCTTTGTTGTATCTTGAATAGTTTTCATATAATTTTGTGTAATTTACATATATTGTTTTACAATTAGATTTATGTTCCAATGTTCAATTGATATAGTAAAGAATTATCTTATATAAAGCTTAGCTGAATTTTAATGACCCTAATGGCAGTTTAAGAAGAAGAAAAATTTTTTCTTTTATGACTAAAATATTCATATTTATTTAAAAGGGTATAATATCAATGATACTATTTTGCTACTGAAAATGAGATTAAAACTCAGTGTTCATGACTCAATCAGAAAGTATCTTTTGAGCCTTTAACTATTTCCTGTTTTACCATTATGCTACACCAAGTGTATTTGTATATTTTATGTTTGTAATTGTTAATATCACCAGTCAAGACAGATAACTAGTTATCTCCCTTACACTAGCGATACCAGGTGACAGTGTCTTATGACAATACTGGCCTATTTGAATGAATAATGTGAAAAAAAAGATCATCTGTATGAAATCTAGAAAAGACTAAAACCAAAAAGAATGGAACTGGAGGACATAAATGTATGGATGTGCAAATGGGTCAACTATAATAATTGAAAAAAAATATTGAAAGACTCATGTGGGGAAAAAACATTAACAAAATATCCTGTTATTTTTATGTTATGGGTAAACTAATTAGATAATAGTTTTGAAAAACTCAAAAGAACTGTTGAGTTGGAATGACTATTAATTCTTTACCAAGTCAGATACATTAATATTTGTATTTATAATAAGTATTTACTAAACTTATTTTCATTTCGCATAAAGCCACAGTGTTAATAGAACCATTTGAGAATTAAACTCACACCACTTGCAGTGGTTGAGCAAGACTAATTTGCTAATCATTAATACTACCAGAGGCATCTCAGAACAAATGGATATAAATTACATCTGAATTAAAATTGTGAAATAATTAACTTTAGAATGATTTTGCAGATATTGATTAAAAAAATGATAAATTAATTTAAGTTAGAAAGTAATTAATAATATATTTGAAGTAGTTATTTTATTTATGAAAATTTAGCAAAATTTTGATCAAACACTACTTGTTTCTACATGCTCTTTTATAAACAACTGACATTCTTATATTGTCAAATGTTGATAGTTCATTAAAGTATTTAAAGATATTTTAAGGTATCTTTATGCTCTTAAATTGCCATTGTTTTTAACAGTTTGGGTTATTTATCTTGCTGAAGAAGTCATTTAGTTCTGTTTTAAAAAATTATGATTGTGAAGGTATAGAAAAGTAGATTTTATTTTATGAATTCATAAAAGAATATATGCTCAATCTTTTTACAGTTCTTTGTTATAAACTAAGTATAGATTTTTTGGTGTTGCCTATTTAGAAATTAATTAGTTAAAAGTCTTTCTTATATATATATGGGCATCCCCAAAGTCCTAGGATGTTATCAAAAATTCTTAAAAAAATATTACAAATTGAACTGTCATTGAATTGTCATATTCAGAATATAGTACAGTTAAAGAATTTCATAACTGCAGTTAATAATTTTCTGTTTAAAAATATTCAGTAGCTATAAAGAAAAAAATTTTTTATGTCATTTTTCTTTCTCTAAATTCCATAAAACTAGTTTATATAAAGCAGTTGTTCTTATATAGTTGAGATCCTCTTACTATATCAATTCACCCTCTAGGTTTGATTCCTGTCATGTGAAAATCTTTATTCAGAATAATAGTGTGATAGTTTCCAATGATAGATGAATCAAATGTCATCACATTCATTCAATGCATAACAATTTATATTTTACTATATTAAATTTGATATAAAACAAGTTAGCTTAAGTACCATCTTTCACTGTTTAGTAAATTTTTTTTTTTATGATTTTAAAATTATTTGAATTTTAAGACGTGAACAGAAGTTTCAGTGACTACTTTAAAGTTACGATTTCCCTAATATGATATTGGAAATGACAAAATGGCTGATGAAAGTGTAGAATTTAATGATGAAGGTTAAATGATAATGACAAAACATTGGCTTTGTTAATCTATTAAGTGTATATAGTCTATTTTCTCAACAACTTGTACCATTTTTTATTTACCAAGAAATTTTGCCGAACCTTCTTTAGGAGCAACTGATCTAGAGATGAGGAATTATATTTTTATTTGATAAAAGTTTCAACTCACCTACATATTTGTTTTAATTAAAAATAGTTCAAATTAGAAAAATTGTACTTGTTAAAAGTCTATTGAAAATATTCAAGTGGTGCATCACAAAGCCATCTCATTGCTAGCACATATATTTATTTTTCCTCTTGTTCTGTGTTAAAACATGTGCATTTACCTCTTTTCTATCATTGTTTATTTTATACAGGACTCCCAGCTGGATGATAAAGTGTTTCAAGATGAAGATATTGAAATTCAGACCTGTGATGAATATGGATATTCTTTAAGTAATTGATTGATTTCTATTATTTTTCTATTTTTTGTGATTCTAGATGAGTTTTTTTGTGCTTACTATGAGCTATGACTGGCCAATCACCATTGAATTATTGATATCCTAGATAGCATTACAAACAAAATCTATACTATAAGAAATTGCTGAAAAGTTCTCAGTTCTACTAGTTCCCTAAACTAAACAAATAACCAATTTTTAAAAAAAATTCCTTCTTGTTTGGGCAAAGAATTTTTCAGGACTCCCTTGTAAGTTTAATTATGGCTTGTTATGACTTCATTTTTCCTTGCTTCTTTTTTTATCATTGTGTACCTTCTGCATTCTTAGTCTACTCTACATGAATTATAATTGTCCGTTATTTCTTTTCTCCATTATAAACTTCAATTATATTCTTTCATTTATGGATGTTCAGTTCTTGAAAACTTTTTTATTATCAAATTCTGAACATTTAAGCCAGACATAACATTTTTTTTTTTTTTTACATACAATTCTTTACTAAATCCTAAAACCACAAGTTTTTACACATTCAAAAAATATTTAGATATTGAATCAAAAAACTCCTCCATTGTGTGAAATTCATAATGTTACTTATTACTATCTTTTACCTTTCAGCTAACTATTATGGATATTTTTAATGCTAATCCTACCAAGGACTGAACTCTTCATCCTTGGCTCACAAATATTCTTAAATTACCCTGTTCTACTTGCTAATTAAAAATGAGTCAAGACTTTTCCATAAGATCTTCCAACAATTTGTTCACAGGGTAAAAGATTTATTTGCCTTTTACTCTTTAGTACAGTCCATTCAAGTCATTTAACTTATTTTTACTTTATTTAATTCAGACTTTTGTTCTTTTTTTAAAATGTTTTCATTTTAAATTTTTGTTAGTTCATCCAAACTTTATTTTTGCTTTTTCTTGAATTAAGTCATACTTGTTTCTTTTCCAGGTATAACCAGTTTTTTTATTGTATTTTATACTTTTATTTTGCATTGTTAATTTTTTCACACTTTTATTTCTGATTGTATTGAATTTCTTTAATGTCTTCTCTTTGTAGAAGTTATTTATTTATTGTAACTTAAGTTTTATTTTCTGTTGGCTTTTCTTTATATTTTGTTTCTATTACCTTTTATCAAAAGAAAAATATTCTTGCTTGGTGGAGAGGAAAGTTTTTTTTCTGAAGTGTTAAAAATAAAGTAATATGTCTAACAAAGGGCAGTAAGTGAAAAAGACAATTTTGATGTGATAAAGCTTTTTAGCTTTATCACATCAAAATTGTCTTGCAGTATTGCACGTTGAAGCAAACCCCAAAAAACACAGAATGTCAAGATGAATGTAAACAATGACAAAACTAGGAATATGGTAGCGGAGAATAACCACAGTGTCTTAAAAAGTGTGGAGCACCTCCAAAATGCATAATCAACATTGTGGTGCTTTGGAGCATGCCAAAATTTACACCCATCTCATAAAAGACGATGGCCTTTTTGGAAGATCTCTAAGAACTACAGAAAGTTGAAAAAAATGTTAGTCTTTAGGGTTGATAAGTGTTTACACAAAATTTGTCACTCCATGAAAGGTACAGTGATCAAATCACTAGCATCTCTGGGAGTTAAGTCCCAATGGATTATTAAGGGAATTCAATTTTTACATAGGATATACTGCTACTCACACTCAAGGACTGCATCGATGCAGCCAGTTGGGAACTAAGAATTGATCATGAAAGACATCATTTTGCAAACAGAGTATGAGAGCAGATGAAAGATCCTCTAGCTGTATACAAACTTTTTTCTTTTGTTTTAGGGGAACAGCTAGCTGTTTACTTTGGCCAATATGGGCAAATTTTAGGTGCTACCAATGACAACTTGAATGAAGGTTGGAGTTTCAATATTGTTTTAGATTGTTAGGCCTTCATTTCCATCCTCAATTATCTGGATGTCCACATCTGGAAAATGCCAGTCATTGTGACTAGCCAAAAACCAACTTGCTGTGGAAATATGGCAAAAATGGTCACCTCATCTTCCTACCCAGAGAAGAAGTACTCTGGATTTTCAGCTCTACTCAACCAAAATCCCCTCTACCTGAGTCGGTTATTTCTCCCTCATCTGTAATAGACATGCCATTGGCTGCGACCAGTGTGATTAAACTTCTGGTTGGGTCCCTTTTGCAGCCTTCATTTCCTGACACTACTTCACCTACCAATTCCAATGTAGAGAAGGAAAAAGAGGCAGTGGCTGGTAAAGGGAAAAAAATCTTTGCATGTAGGGTTGGCAGGCACTTCATCCTCTGCCATGTTTTCCCCAGCATCTAAAAAATCCATGGCTCCTCCACCTCTGACTAGATCATTGACCCCTACAAATTCTAAAATAACCTTCTTGGTGTGGGGGTCTCTCTCTCTCACCTTCACCAGTCCTTTCTACTCCGGCCAATACCACACCTGTTTCTACTCCCATCCCCACACCTTCCCAATCATCATAAAAAAACTGACAAAAAAGGGGGCAAAGAAGTCCTGAAAGGACTTCAAGGATTTAAAATACCTGCAAAACATTAAGCAGTTTGACAACAATGATGTAGAAAACCCTCAAAACTTCCCGAAAGTGAAAAGGGTGCTGATAACAGTGATATTGGTCTTAGGTGCACAACAAATATGAGGCATAATTATGGAGGCTAATGACTCCTTCATCATGTTTCTTCCACGGGCATTCTTCAATGATGAAAATGTTAAATGTTTAAAGCAGTTTTGTTCAAGGAGACTCCCCCTTTTTGTTCACCACTTCTTGTACAAAGCTTTAAAACTTACATTCACTTAGGTCATTGATGTCCTGTATCTTGATGGCACTGTCAAGAGTTAGATAGGCCAACATTCAATTTGACAGGCCATTACTCCAGCCATATTCAATGCAGAGGATCAACCCTAATTGGATTGACAATAGCTCTCTGGTTAGCACATGTGAATATGCTCTTCAGTGCCTGTGTGTGTGTGTCATGTACAGGAGACCCATTTTTCAGCATGTGTCCATGAATATATTCTTTCTAGAAGGAGATTTGAGGCCATATTTTTGCTTCTGGATCCGACTTCTGTTTATGGTCCCCAGTGCACTGGTGGAAGTGAATGGAATAAGATCAGAACCTTTTGAATTGTCTTGCTCCATTGGTCAAAAGTGTCCAATTTTGCCTTTACTGTACATTCTGCATGGAATCTCTCCTTCATTAGTTAAAGGTGTATTTGGTCCTATGCAGAATTTCATTACCTGGTGCTACTATGACGTCTACCCCGGCCACTCTGTATTCGAGCTCAATCCTCTCAGCTGATCGTAGAGTTCATTGCTTCAGCCCAAGTCTTATCTTGCCCCCATGTTGTGTTAATTGGTGGCAAGACTGGCTTGGTCCAAATGGTCAACTGGAATTTATGACTTGGTTTGGTCTGGATAAAGTAAAGCCACATGAAAAAAATAAATTGAATAAAAGAAAAAAGTATTTATATACAATTCCTTGATAGTATAGTTATTGATGGCTTAAGCAGGCCTATATTCTCCATGCAATAACTATTGACCCCTCCCAATTATCATGACATGTTGTTATGATTTTAAACAAGACTCCTGGGACAAGGCTCTAAGTCAGAGGTTTTTCTTCAGGGTGGTGAATCACATCAGATCAGGCAAAGCAGTGGTTCTCGTCTCTCTGTTCAGTCTCCTCTCCGCAGTGTCTACTCTCTGCATCTACTCAGCGTTCTGATTTGATGGACCCCTGTACAAGGGCTGGGATGGGGTATGATGTGTTCTGGGAATGCTAGCATTCCCCAAACAACCAGTCAGGGCTGTCCCTGCAAATGTCCAAATATAGTGCAGCCCCTCCTCCCCTTTGGAATTCTACCTGGGCCTTTTCCTTTTTTTGGTCACCTGATAAAACCCATCCCCTTCCTGCTTTGTGTGAGCACTTCCCACCTTCACTGCCCAAAGGGCATGGAAAGTCCTGCACCTTCTACCTGGGCCTTTTCCTCTTTGGTCACATGATCAAACCTATCCACAAAAACTAGGTGTGGTCTAGCCCAAATGGCCAAATTTTAATTATTGTTTAAAATTCTTTCTTATCACGCTTTTGTCTGTGGTCATTTTCAAATCTGGGATTTATCACTTTTAACCCCTTATCAACCCTTTGGCCAACAAGTGAAAAAGAAGGGGGACAATCCCTTCCATTTCAGCAGATGAAAAATTTAATTACCATTCTTTTCCTTTTTTGAATACTGTCTGCTTTTAAAAGTTAATCCTTATCAATTGACCAAATTCATGGCCAGAGGTCAATCTTCCTCTCTGTCACTCAGTGGTCATAAAAATATTATCTATTTCTTTCCAGGAGGTTCTTGGGTCTCCAAGAAAATGCCATCACTTAATCTCAGTCCTGACCAAAACCAGATGGTCACTTTGTTTTACATCTCCTGCAGACAAAAAAAATTAATTACCATTCTTTTTCTATTTTCCTTTGTCTGGTCATGTTTTTTTTTTTTTTTTTTTTTTACTGGTGCCTTTCCAATAGTGTCACACTACCAACTTGGCCAGGTACTCCACCTATATAGATGATGTGATTATTTCTGTATTGGGACCGTGACAGGGGCAAGATCAGCCACAATAAGTGCAATTGGGCGTATAGAAGGGAATTTCTCTTCCTGAACCTTTTCACAGGACAGACAGACCTTGCAACATACTTGACGTCTGGTTTGGTCCCAACCACTAGTTAGAAGTGAATTGATTGGATGTGCAGGAGAAGGCCAAAGCTGCAGTTTGTCTGTGGTCCCAGAGAAAACTTTCCTTAAAGGTTAGAACAGAAGTTTGGGCTTCACACATCCACCTAATTTTTCTTTACTGACTCTCCATCCACTTCTATCTACTATACAACTTAGTTTAGTTAGGGTCTTGTTTTCCCTCTTGTGGCATGTCAAGGTCCTTCAGGTAAGCCACAAGATCTGTTACCTTTACCCATCTGAAGCCAGTCTGGGGATGCTAAG